TGAAAATTTGAAACTTTCCCCTTATTTTTTGCAGCTACTTTCGTAAAGGATTTTTGATGGTCGACTCAACTTCGCTATCGGTACTGGTACTGCATTCAAGTAAATATATAAAAAACATTTAAATAAAAACATAACAATATTATTCAACTTTTTTACCCCAAAATTTATATTATATTAGTCAAAAGCCACACAAACTATTAGTGAAACTCACAAAAAAGCAATCAGGGTTAAAAACTATTCAACTTCACCATAAACTTAAACAGAACTATCAATAATTGGTACTAAGACACTTTAAAATCCGGACATAGAAAAAAATATTACATTAAAACACTAAAACAATGCTTTTTAGCGACCCTACATTCCATGTCACGCGAAAACGATCCTAAGCGCACCTCGGAACCACTAGGTCGTTTATTGCCTGACAGCCCACGCAAATATAAACCTTCCTCGCAGCTTCGCTGGCGGAAGCGGTATTCACGACATGACTTCACAATTTGTTAATTTAAAAAAAAAACTATCCATCGGATTAGAATTTTTAAAAAACTAATGTATTCCCTGATCTTCAATGCATAACGTTTATAGAAGACGGTTTTTTGATAAACCAAATGGTTTTCAACTAACAACGCAGTGAACGATAACATAAAAATTAGTTTTTAGGACAAGCGTTTATTCATTAAGGAACTCCATAAGAAAGCATTATGAAGGTTGTTTTGAAAATTAAAAAAAAAAATGGTTGCTAATGAAAATATTGAAATCTGATTTTGTCAGTTTAATGGCCGTGTGTGTTAGATGTAAAAATCTAAAAAAAAAAATTTGGACATTTTTTGCAAAATCCACCCCCACCACTTCCTGGACCGTACGATTTTTGGACGACATGTTGATTTTGCATTATTAGGGTATTAGAAATAATAAAAAGTAGTCCTTAAATTTTAGCAATAAAGTGCAAACGAAAATCTGTTTTAAAGGGGGTGTGCGCCAAAAAAATAATAGGTACCGCATCTCACCCTATGACGTCACGAGAAAGTGGAGTTAATTAAATTTACATATGTTTTTCCTGTTCTAAACAAAAACCACTCAGGCGTGCCGGGAACAATCAAATAAACAATGCGGAGCGCGGCTGGACGAAGTTCTGGTGACGTCACGAGAGCGTAGTCCACACTTTAAAGCGGTATATCTCAGCGATGGTTTATCGTAGAATAACGAGGTTTGAACAGTTATTCTTAGATTTTTTTACACTAAAACTTTAATTTTTGGCGCACACCCCCTTTAAGCGACTTCTGCGAGCATTGAAACTCTACTAATTATTTTGATAAGTGTAGTTATATTTCCAGTTACAAAACTGTCACGAGAATCCAAGAGCAACGCGATTGAAATGAGGCAGAACGGGTTGGCAGCTGGTTTCCGTTCCATCTCTCTCTATTCCACAGCTCGTTGCGTCGGCCTCTGTGCCCGTCATGCGTCGCGCGAAATAATTCAAATAATTGGCCACCTTCGAACTGGGCAATCGGGGCTGAGGTAACCACATTGCAAAATGTGTGGTATTTTGCGCAGGTTTTTTTATTCCAAAAATATGCTTTAACTCGATAATCACAAAAAAATCGAGGGCTGTCATCACTTTGATCTAGCAGCCTCGGATCGGTCAAGCGACAGCAACCGGTCATTACATTAACCTAGGGACCGAGTACTGTCTTTAACGCTAAAATTTGCCCTTCGACTCTAAATTCACAAAATTCAAAAAACACGTACAGACATTCGCATTTTTGTTTTCCGAATTTTGGACCCTAATAACTATGGCAACCCTTGAAAGCAGAGAGTCATTGATAGTGTCAAGCCAAGAAATATCACTCTTTAAATTTTTATTTCAATACGAATTAACCAAAGTGCATTGACAAGTAATGTCCCAATTTAGTTGGGCAATACGTATGTTATATTAAATAAAAAACGGATCAGGTTGTTAGCGAAAAGCTTAAAGCCAACGACCTATGTTTTAGGTCAATGATTTTTGCTGACATTCCTGAATCGATTTGGATCGATAGGGCGTCATTTTGGAGTCAGTGGTTAATCTAAATTCGGGCGCTAAATTCGTGTTATGGGCTACGGTACGGTATACAGAAAGATGGTTCTCCGGTAAGTACCGTTATTTAACATTTATAAATTAGGTCTAGTGCTCTCATCTTATTAATCAACTCTTCAGTTGTAATCAATAAACTTAATTATTCTTAATGTTTCGGGACTTATTGTTTTAATTCATTAAAATCCCAAAAGATTCCAAACCCCCAGTTGCAACAAAATAGGCTGTGACATATGGTGGGCCACCATATACAGGGTGAGTCCGAAATAAGTGCGCATTTTGTTATGATAGATAGAGTACGGTAGGATAATCACTCTTGGCATAGGAACATGTGTCCGCAAACATCTCGTTAAGAAAATAGTGTAGAGTGTTGAAATTTTCGGAAAATTTAGACTTTTTGCTATTAGATTCAAAATGCAATGAACGCAGTATTTGCGATGTTCTCAAGCATCTTTCTAAAAAAATCGTTTGAGTTTCACTTTTCTAGGACCGGACCTAGAGCGACTCCTATTTTTTTAACAGAGTGGATTGTATCGAACGACGGGATTTTCCAAACAATACATAAGGCATTTTTTAGCGAGATCCCAGTAATAACCGTTTATAACCCATGCGGCTATACACGGTAACACTCCCACTTCAAAAATATATCCCTACCATTGGCCGATTTCTAGGATTAAGCCGCTTCTCGCTAAAACGGAACGATTATCAAAATTTTACAGTAAAGTGAGGTTAGTTTATATTTTGTGGTGAACATGAAAGAAATGAAGTCAATAATTAAGTCCTTATTACTAATTGACGATAATATGTATGAAAACACCCTGTATATTTCAATTTCTAAGTTTTATCGAGTCAAGTGTGATCCCTTGAAATGTATATTGCGAGAAAATCATGAGAGATAGCTTATAGACCATAATATGTGGATTATTAGCTCCTTCAACTGGATGACTAACTACTACCGGCCACTCCGGCGAGATCTGCCATTTTTTGATATCCTCCAATAACAAAAATCTCAGAAAAAAAACTCACGTTTACACAGCAAAACAATCGCAAATGAATCTAAGGTTAGAATTTTTCAGTTATTCAACTCTCGACGTGGGTATCAAAAACAATAACCGTGTTATAGAATGATGACGTCACTGTATGACAGCAAAACGCCTTCCCCTATTACCGTTTTCTCGCAAAAACGGATCGGTTATCAATTTCCTGTAACCGCTTGTAACACGGGAACTAACGGAAGGTCGCTAAAAAATGCCTATTGATTTTTATTTTTTATCTCGTGAACGTCGCATCGAACAAGAAAAAGTGGTGATACCCTTTTGGTATATAACTGACGTTTTCAATTGAAAGAGATAGACGATAAGTATGAAAACATTAATTTTCCCGCCAACATTTGCTTGCTTGTCAATGTCAAAGTGTATTGGGTGTTTAGCAGTCCCCTCGTTTTTATTTTAATCGGTGACTTCAGCGATGTGTTTAGTGAATGGAAAATTACAATGACCCACATAGAATGGTGGATTCATCGGTAAAATTTGATGAGAAATAAAAACGCTCGGAATTTGAAATTGGAAAGAAAATGTGGGGAAATCCACTGCTTCATTTGCAGAACTTTGCTATGGAGAGGGCGGTGGAAGCAAACAGGTTGTAGAGCTTCCGCAAACTAAACTTAAACGTGGATTACTTCATATTCTTGATGGGCCGTGGATTTAGATTTCTTTTACGAGTATCCTTTCTTAGTTTGTGTATCCAAATTTTGACAAATGTTGGATTTGATGGAAACTTAGGGACGACACGTCCGCCGGTGAATAGGAATTATTTTTTCCTACAGCCGTACGGAAAAATCAATTTTCCGCACTGATAGGTGGTTTTCCTCAAGGCAAAAAGTCAAAATTTTACGAAAATTTCAACACTCTGTATTTTCTTAACGAAACGTTTGCGGACACATGTCTATGCAAAAAGTGATTGTCCTACTGTACTCTATCTTTCATAACAAAATGCGCACTTATTTCGCACTCACCCTGTATAAGTCCCAAACATTAAGAATAATTAAGTTTATTGATTACAACTTGTGGGTTGATTAATAAGATGAGAACACTAGACATAATTTATAAATGTTAAATAACGGTACTTACCGGAGACCCATCTTTCTGTATACCGTAGCGTAGCCCGTACGGGCTACGCTACGACTTTAGCGCCCTAATTTAGATTCACCACTGACTCGAATGTCAGCAAAAATCATTGACCTAAAACCTAGGTCGTTGGCCCTAAGCTTTTTGCTAATATCCTGATGCGTTTGCTTTATTTAATATAATATCCGTATTGCCCAACTAAATTGGGGCATTACTTGTCAATAAACTTTTGTTGTAAAGGGTGATATTTTTTGGCTTGACAATAGTACAGGTTTCAAAATCCAATTCGGCCATAAACACCAAATCAAGGGATTTTTGCAGTGGGATCTCGGACTTTTTTCAAATACCTATGCGGAGAATTGTCTTGCACCTTATCGCGCAATTTTTTTTTTTTTCAATTATTTATGGCTTCTATGTAGGTATTTTTCAATGTTTCCAAAATTCTCATGTAACCTTGTATGAGACACCGTGTATATCTCATAACCATGAGATGAACAACAACCGGTAGGTAGGTACTTGCATCTAGAAAATTAAAATTTTTTAGACAGTGATTCCTCAGAATTTTTGCGAATTCTATTGCCAGACATGTTTTTCGAATAAACAATTGTACACCTTTTAGAGTAGTTTATTATTGTTAGTCAAATTAGGTAAAATCAGTTAAATATACCGATTCAATTGGCTTGCTGATGGAATATGTGAACGAGGTCTTTAAAATATGCTAATTTCAATAACTATTTGAATTAAATATAATATTCAAAAAATGCAACTCTGAGTTCCAAGTAAATACATATTTTATAACTTACCGGAAACTAATCCAGTTCCAATATCATCCCATGTAGAGAAATTTCCATAAAAAGTCTCCGGCGTTAACGTTGTAAGCATATTGTTGCTCACATCAATGGAGAGTTGTTGAATCTGATGCATATTGGAAAACAATCCAGCTGGCAACTCCGAAATTTGCGTCCCTGATATTTTGATAGTCAAACTTGGATTTTTTGTTATTTTTGCAAAAGCGTCTTTTTCTATTATTTGCAAATTCCTTCCAGTAATTTCCAGATGAACTAATTTTTTATTTGTCATGCAGGTCAGTTGATCATCCAGTCTATGTTCAATGACGATTAATTTTATTTTTCTCAGTTGTGTTAAATGGGATAGCAAATAGCAAAATTCATCATAAAAATTATCCACAATCGGTGAAGTCTGCATATGAATTTCAGAAAGTATTCTTAATTGAATAAAAGCCTTGCTTTCAAATTTCGATAGCCTTTTTAAATGTTGAATATTCAGTATTTGCAAGGATTTAAGTCCATGGAAACTATCCACAGATATTTCTTTAATTGGGTTGAAAGACAAGTCGAGTTCTTTTAAACTATTTAAATAAATCCATAAATGAGAGGGAACATGATTTAAATTGCAATGACTTAAATCAAGAAACTTTAATTTAGATAATTCCTCGAAGGAATTTTTATTAATATTTAGAAGATTGTTGTAGGATAAATTCAAGTGCACTAAATCCGGCAGAGGAAAATTTGGTGTTGATATTATTCCAGTATCAGCTAGGCTCAAATGCCTTAAGTTTTGAGCATAATGAAATAACTCTTTAAAATTTGCCCTCAACGGATTAAACCCTAAATCCAAATATTGCAGCAAACTCAATTGCGTAAAAACATTATCAGGCAATATTGTCAGTTTATTTTTGCTTATGTCTAAATAATTCAAATAAGGTGTATCTGGAAAACTTGTTACATCGATATGTTCTAGAACATTGGATTGTAATGATAAATGCATTAAAGTCATTCCAACATCTGACAGACTTTCTCTCGGGACTATCGAAAACGAGTTATAGCCTATGTCTAAAAACTCCAGTTGGGTATCTGCAAATACTTCTCTGGGTAGATAACTGAGGCCGTTTTCTCTAAGGTTCAAAACTCTTAGTCTTGGCATATCAGAGAATTGATGGTTGTGCAAATAATTTATCAGGTTTTTGGATAAGTCTAGAGTTTGAAGGTTTTGCAAGCCAAAAAATGCTTTTCTATCCACACTTGCGATATTATTGCGATATAAACTTAATTGCTCCAAGGCTGACAATTTATTGAAAGCATTGAATTCCAGTGAGGTGATTCCGTTGTAGTCTAGTAGTAGTTTTTTTAGTAAGGGCGTAAAATCCAGACATTTTGGCACTTTATTAAATCTATTAAAACGTAGGTCTAATGATTCTAAAGAAATTACTTTCTTATCTGCAAGGCATGATGATAGTTCGTTGTGGCTTAAATTCAAAAACAGTGGACTGCTCAAGTTGACAAATTGGGATAAAACTATTTTAGTCAAATCATTATATTGCAAATCAACTTGCTTCAACATAGGTAAATTCGTAAAAGCCCCATGGCTAATACTATCAATTTTATTATTTCTAAGAAACACCATACTAAGCTGCGGCAAATTCCCAAAGGAATCAATTTGCAGATGTTTTATCTTATTTCCATTCAGCCACACGGTTTTCAGGTTTTCTAGCTGGGCAAAAGTGCCGCTTTCGATCGTGCTCAGCTCATTATCGGATAACACGATGTTATTGAGTTTCGAATGTATGTTGGCTTTCATGAGGTTTGGAGAAATAGCTTCAATTTTGTTCGATTCGAGGTTGAGATAAACGATTTCTCGTAGAGAGTCAAACGAATTCGGTTTTATCTCGTGAAAATTATTGTGATCCAAGTATAGATATTTGAGGTTTTCTAGATTTTTGAAAGCTTCATAAGGCAGGTCATCCCGTTCGAAACTAGCCGATAGTTCTAACGTTTCCAAATAAGTAAGACCATAAAACGCTTCTGATTCCACATATCTTAAAGGGTTATAGTTAAGATTGAGCTCCTTTAATTTTGGCATTTCTGCAAAAACTTTATCATTCAAATTAGTAATTCTATTGTTATTTATATTTAATATTTGCACTGTGTTTCCCCAGTCAAAAAAATCGTCTTGACCGATTTCAGAAATTTGATTCGATGCTATGGCAAAGTATGATAGTTTTGTACAATTTCCTAATGCCTCAGAAGGTATTTTAGATAATCGATTTCCGCTCAAAGAGATAGCTTTCAAGCTTTCCTGGAAATTTTCCAATGATCCTATTGGAAGTTCATTGAGAAAATTATTGGATATATATAGAAATCTCAAAGACATTAGCTGCGTTATTGCTGTTGGAAATATTTTCAGTCTATTATGATCTAAATCTAGATATTCCAGTGTTGTAGAAATTCCTTGAAATGCTTCATCTTCAATTTTTTTTATTTGATTATAAGAAAAAACTATTCTTCTACTATCCAAGCCCAAAAAACTATTTGCTGTGATTACTTCAAATTCGTTCATTCCCAAAAATACGTCTCTAACAAAAATAGAGCTGTTGAATGGCCTAGCCGGAAAAGCTTTCAAATAGTTTTGATTCAAATCAATTTTCTGAATCCAAAATTTTCTGCTGAAAGTATAATCAGGTATACTTTTGATATGATTTCCTCTTAAGTACAGCCATTCTAAATGTGGCATTGTTGCAATAATATCCAATGGAAAATTTTCTATCAGATTATAGGAAAAGCTGACAGTCTTTAGTGATGATGGTAAAGAATGCTTGTGAATTTTATGGATTCGGTTTGCATCAGCATTTAACCAGGTTAGTGATTTTAATTGTTTGATTCCTGTATGGGTACTATGAGGAGATGAAGATGAAGTGTCTGCTATTTCGGTCAGGTCGTTTTGGCCTACGAAGAGCGTGTTTAGTGAAGTTTTCATATAGGACCAGTCACCGTTTGCTGAAGATATTTGATTCCTGCAAAACAAAGAAGGTAACATTATTATCTTTGCGGCACCAAATTCACAATTAAATTAAAAAAAAAAAAGATAAAAAATATTTTTCATTTTTAAAGCAAACGCAAATTACCAACAAACACTGGGGCGCAAATAAACGAGAGGGATGTTGCGCGGGAGAAACATTCGCAAAACGTAAAGAAATTAAATGGGGTTGTATGCTCCAATTACTCTCTGTTAATTGGGAACAAACAAGAATTATTATTCGTCGCGTTGTACATTAGCGAAATTATTTAAACGGTTGAGGCTTTGGAAAAAAATAGGATGCTGACATTTTAGATAATTAGGTATATTATTTTCTATGGTAAAAATCTAATGCTTTTAAAAAAAACTGCCTACGTTGATTGAACTATAGGAAGCTTACAATAGTTAATTTTCTCGTGTATACTTATAAAACTCCTAATTCCAGAAATCAGTAGGTAACACAGAAAGAGAAAACAACAACACTCAATCTCAATCTACAATCAGCGAGAAGAAAAAATATACCAAACCAATGGTTCTGAAAAGCTCGAATATTCTTGAAGCCGATACACATTCCTAGCATATTTCAACGACAAAAAAAAAGTACAGCTTAGATCACTCAATAATATATAAATTAAAAACACAGACATAGAACCTTTTGCATACATTCACAATTGCTACACACTTTTATTGGACATACTTGAATTCGGCCACAAACCAGGTATAGTGAAATTAATTAAATAATGAATGACGTCGAAATTATTGCCAATTGCAATTTGTAAGAAATTAAAATTCGTTTTAAACTCGGAGCGCATTTTCTCTTTTGTTCAACCCTAGTTAAAAAGAAAGAGAATGCTGTCGGATCATACAACCGAATCTGCCAATGGAATGGGATTTAGGTTGGCACTCGTGAGTAATGTTGCCAAATGATGCTTACTGCAAATCTTCGATTATTGACATTAATAATTTCAGGATTGTTGTCAGTTTTTGGCGAATCGGGAATTGATAGTTGGGATATAATTTGAGTATACTTGCTTTAAAAGTGTATTAATGGAATTTCGTTTTTTTGGTGATTCTTATCAATTTATTAATAAAAATGTAACCTGGGAAAATGACAAACTTAACTATATGGTCATGGTATGTCAAACTAAAACGAAGTTGATGCGGCAATATAACGACATGCTAACGTCATGAATTTTGATGACGTGCATCCATTATTTTAATAATTTCCCTATAGCTGCAGTAATCCTATCTTGAATTCGGCCAAAATCAAAATTTCATTTGGATTTTTTAGTTCTACAATAATGTTTTTTAACTGTTTGTTTTCTTCTTGTAGACTATTTTTGTTGTCGTAAATTATTTCTGACAAACTCTGACATTTCATTATTTTTATTCCATTCAGATCTTTCTTGGATAATTTTAAACAAGTCAGGCAAAACCATTGTTCGCAAATTTTGCATCCCAAGGAGTAGTAGTTTTTTTGAAATTCATATCTGCATCCAGCACAATTATTAGTTAAAATTTATTCTTGTATATTATCTAGTTTTTCATTTATTTTTGTATCCGTATTTTGAGTCTCATTAGATGATCCTGCATCTAAACGATCTTGAGTAAAAATATAAAAATCATTCGCATATTCTCCATATAGGTATATTGTCTTGTGGACACCTTTTTGGCAATGAGTTTGAAAAATCCTCATCAGTATTTGAATATAACAAACTTTCTGAATGTGCTTCTGACAATGACATTTCTGGGTTTTTCTTCTTTGCAGTTTTTGTCCGAATGGGCGCTTTCATTATTTTTTTCCATAGCTACTGGTAAAGTAGCCTTTAATCTACTAAAAATAGTAGATAAAGTAGTACTTTAACCGCAAGGGTAGATTAAATGATACTTTAACAGCAAGGATAGATAAAGACGTTTTTCTACAAACGTGTTAAAAATGCAATTTTTAACACCCCCCCGAAGCATTAAAAATGTTACTTTATCGCACTAGTGCCATAAAGTCTTTATAGCACTAGTGTTAAAAATGAAACATCAAATTTTGAGAGCGAACGTCAAAAAAAGTTTGTATTTTTAGTTATTTACATTGATATGAATGGTGAAATTTGAACAACTGAGGTAGCCCGATTGGCCGCCTCATCTATATTTTTCAAGGGATCGATGCAACCCTCTTTTTCTTCTGTATTTTGTTGCATTTTAAGCAAAAAGCATTACTAACCACGACAATCTTTCAAGAAACTGACAAGACATTTCATTACCTGTAAAACAAGGTGCTGGTTGTTTGAACTTTTTGACAAATGTCAAATTCAATCATTTTATGTAGGAAAGATGCTTCCAATTTATTATTCATTTAAAAATCCAATGTGTTACTGGTTATTGCTTTTTATTGCCGTTTGTAGAAAAAATATTGTACGATATTTGTGTTAAAAGTATTTTTAAGGCACTTATGTGAATTGCAGAATTCGCTTCGCTCATTCTGCAAACTTTCACATGCGTGCCTTAAAAATGTACTTTTAACACTTATATCATAAATAACTATTATTTTGTCAAAAATATATAGGTACCTACATATTTTGTTTTTTATTGATTTGTCAAAGTTTGTCAAACGAATTTCTACTTATGCAAAAGTGCTCGACTCAAATAATTTATAAATATTTTTGATACTACAGGCGTCCATAATTAGGCTATGGACAAAAACTTTGTTTTACACTCGACGATAAAATGCCATTATCGTCTTCTGGAATTAATTCACTCGCGATTCCGCTCGTGAATTAACTTTTTCGGTCAACGATAAACTACCATTTTATCGTCTTGTTTAAAAAATAACTATTTTTTTGTATAACTCTCGTACTTGTAAAAGTAGATTTATTTATTCTGATTGGTTTACTCCCTTTTTGAGTTTATTTGAATTTTTAAGTCTCTAATTTTGGATTTTTTTAGGAGAGTTTTATATTTAGATCGACTTGACAATTTGACAATTTTTGGACGGTTTTAATATGAAACTTAGAGCATGAAACGTCAATTTCTGAGCGAGATACAAAAAAATGAATCCCCTACTCTGAGGCTCAACTGTCATGAGATCTTGGATTAGTGCAAACTGTATTTTGATATATTTAACCGTTTAGCCGCTAGAGGGCGATTCTTGATTTTGAGCAATACTATAAAACCTTTATAACTTTTCTCTTTATGAAAATAATTGATTTCCGTAAAAATTTCATGGAAGCACTTTTTTACACAGAACTTAGTGACGTTCTCAGTTTCTTTCTATTTCGCCCCGACTTCGAGATATTGATCAAAGTTCGATTTTTTGCAATAAGACACTCTACACCAAAATGTATGGAATTAAAAACCCTCCAGAATGATGTATCACTTGACCCTCCTACCCATTTAGGATTTCCTAGAGGGTGGCTCTGGGGGCTGGGGGGTTGAAAGGGGGGAGGTGAATTTTGCATAAAAAACTCATCCCCCCTTAAATTATAGTTTACGTGTTTCAGGAATTTTCTCGAAAAATTTTCTCCTCAGAGATAATAGGGGTGGTAAGTTTTAAAATGAACACCCTGTATATCAATAGCTCATTAGAAAGCTCTGCTTTTGCTGATTTCAATGATCTCGACAGTTCATTTTCGAGAAAAAAAAATTATTTCGTTTTTTTTTTTTTAAGGAAAATGAGAAAGGTCTCTTTCTAACACATAGTTTCTTATGACAAAAACCAAAATAATTTTTTTTTTCCGAAAACTGTTAGAGGCGGAATTTTGAAAATTTGCACCGCGATATAGCAAAAAAGTTAGGGCCGGTTTCTCAATAGCAAGTCACCCCCCGGATTAAGCATAACTGCATTGTAACTACAGCCCGGAGGTGAGTCGCTATTGAGTCTATTGAGAAACCCAACTCAAAACTATGTTTAGCTTTTGTGCGAGTTTTTATCCTCTGTCACTTTTTACTGTCACCTTTGAGACGTATGGTATGACCAAAGGATGACACTTCTTAAACGGAATGATTCAGCCTTCATAGGTACCTACATGCCCATTTTAAGGTTGAAAATAAATAGGTGGGGCTTTTAGAAAAATCCCTTTAAATAAATACCTAATATCTACGCCACTGAACATCTAAAAAATGAATGTATTTGGTAGGAAATTTTCTTCTCTACAATTTTTTTCTCTTGTCATTTTGCCCTAAAATGCTTAGTTTTAAAGTTATCAAAAAAAAAAATGTAAAAAGGGTAGATTTCACCCCACTTAAGGGGTGGTTTTGGGGTGACGGGCTCAACGCTTCGGCGCTGGGGTTTCAGAGGGTATTTATTACTCTAAAACAAAGTCTTGTACCAAATTTCAGCTTGTCTCCAATTTGTTGAACGTTACCCATATAAAACGATGGATAGGCCCAGTTCTAATGATTAACATTATTTTTTCAATAATTTTCAATGCTGAAATTTGTGAAGGTGTGTCAGCTTATAATTGAAAAGTCTCGCTTTTCCACATTCGTAGAAAAAAGTGTCTTTTCCGCACGCAAACACGTATCCGAACTCCGCTTCGCGTCGTTCGTATAACTGTGTTTGCGTGTGCGGAAAAGTAACACTTAGCGCACTTGTTAGGAAAATAACTATTTGCAACGAGCGTTGAAAAAAATGAGAAAAAGTCAACTTTTTAAAAATTTCTTTAGATATGAAATGCAGGACATATAATATAGTATAGGGTGTCCCAAATTCGAGGGTGACCATTGAGATATCGGAAACTATGAGAGATATGAGGTAGGTTAAATTATGGCAAAGTTGTGCAATTTTATGACCAATACAATGCCTAGTAGAAAAGTTTTCTTCCGGGCTAAAATGCCGTGGTCGAGTAATATTTCTACCTAACGTTTCGTCTACTGCGGCGGTAGACATTTTCAAAGGCGGTGTAGTAGAGGACGAAGTTTTCTCTTCCGTGTTTCTCCGATGACTGGATTCGACGTTGTTGGACGGTTAAACCTGCGTTATTTATATCCAGGGTTGTGGACGTAGCT